GCAACACGGCACTGCACCTGGCCAGTCAGCGCGGCTGGACGTCGCTGGTCGAGGCACTTCTCGATGACAATGTCAACGTGCCCAACACGGTAGACATTATTGTCTGCACCGAGCAGAGACAAGCATATGAGTAGGCTGGCGACACGCCAGCGAGCGTCGCGCTATTAGCCAACGAGTACGACCTCGCACTGCGCTTCTTTTGCGACTTTGGCGCCGACATCAATACCGTCATGGTATTCTTTCCAGGTCAAAGGCTATGAGATACAATAATTGTTGCTAGAGCAATGGACTGACACCGCTGCTCTTTGCGTGTAAGCACGGCCAAATGGCGTTGGTGCAAGCGCTGCTGGCGTCGCCCTCACGCCAGCGGGACGTCAAAGACCCGGTACGAGACTCGGCTCGACCGCTCTATAACTCGATGTGGACGCGGTAGCGTGGCAACTCGGCCCACATGCTTACTTGCTACAGTGACCCGCGCGTGTTCTTCGCGTTGCAGGAGATGAACGACGATGAGATCTTGTCGAGAAACAAGGTACTACGTCGGTACACGGTCATCCTGCGTACGACGCACGGCCTAGGTCGGTCGCACGATCTTTCACGTGGCCTGTGAATATGGCCGCGAGACGGTGGTCGCTGCGCTTGTACGTCGCTCCCTCCTTGACGTCAATGCGCCCGATACGGTAGAAGGAAGCACTTGGCAAGGTGCTGGGTTGGCGACAGAATGGTAGGACGGCAACACGCCGCTGATGCTCGCCTGCAAGCGCAACCACGGAGCTGTCGTGACGCAGCTTTTGGCACATCCACGTCTAGCTATCGATGCCACCAACAAGGTACAATATTGTACGATACTAGAATCATGTGGTTCACAAATATATGTGGCTAGGATGGTCTAACAGCGCTGCATGAGACCGCCCGCGCAGGTCATGTACGTCTTCTTCGGTTGCTTCTTGAGTCTACGACGACGACCGTGGAAGCCCGCAGTGCGGTACGTCGAATCATGGGATTCAGCAGTAGCAATCCAGAGTAGGCTGGCACCACCCCACTCATGGAGGCTGTCGACCAGCGCAAGCCTGGCGTCGTGACGTTTCTCTTGCGCCAGCCGACTATCGACGCCAATGCCGTCGACAACGTCTGTCGCTCCTCGCTGCCACAAGGAGACTGACACTTCTCATGTTAGGACGGCAACACGGCGTTCATGCGGCACTGCATGCACAGTGACTACAACGTACTCGAAGCGCTCCTCAGCAGTCCCGAGGTTGACATCAACCGGCGGAATCATGTTCGACCATCTTGACTAACAACGAAGGACACCGTCTCATGTCTCTGGTTAGGCGGGTATGACGGCACTGGCGCTGGCGTGCCATGCGAACGACCCGATGCTGGCGGCGCAGCTCATGCAGCTGCCCCAACTGGACGTTGCGACCATCGACGCATCGGTACGTTGGATAGCCTCGTTGCGATACTGGATACTTGGATAGTGTGGCCATATCGCACTGGCGGTGGCGTGTGCGCTGCAGTACGATCATGTTGTGCGAAAGCTGCTGTCGTCGCCCGAGATCGACGTCAACTACCGGGATGCGGTAGGAAACCTAACCCTACGATGGAACCCTAATCCCCGCGACTCGACCAGAGCGGGCTCACGGCGCTATTGCAAGTGTGCCTCAACCAAGGCAACGTCAAGATAGTCCAGCTCCTCTTGGAGAAGCCAGAGATCGACACGAGTGTCCGGGACAAGGTAGTATCTCGTTCAATGTTCCCACGTGACGCGTCATCGTGGGTAGCACGGCAACTCGGCGTTGATTCTGGCAACTCGCCAAGGCAATACTGGCATCGTGCAAGCGCTGCTAGCACACGGTGGCTGCGACGTCAACGCTGCCAACGACGTACATTATCTCCTCAAGTT